AGTCGAACCGAGTCTACCGGACCATCTGGTATGAAAACGTCCCAAAAAATTGACCTCAAACTCTACGAGTTGTAAAATGAACAAACTAACCAACCTGCCATCAGTCTAAGAAAACAGGTTTTGATATGACATTTCAGTCCAAATGATTCCCTAACCCTCATAATAGAGGTCCTTCTTTACCATCCTGATTGGTTTTTCATCAAACTATCATCCAAAGGAACTCAAACGTTCTCTGATGTCAGATGTTTCAGTCGTAAAGTGAAGCAGTAGAAACTTCCTGTAGCTCCTGGGTTTGGGGACCGGGGGGTCAAACTTCTCTGGGACGGTGATGTGGGGCTGCCGGTTTCGTCATGGGACCCGAGGTGTCCTCTTTTGTGCGCCCTGTCAAACATGGTTAACATGCAGCCATTTATCTGCTGAAGACCCCCTCCCCTGGTGAACAATGGCCTGGCCCGACGGCAGTGGGAGGAGGGCGGGAAGGGAGGGGGCTTCGGTCGCCCCTCTGGTCCCTCTTCGTGCCGACGCTCGTGGTTGTTCTAAGACGAAGTGGCTCAGAATCCACTTTCTGACAAGCCATAAATGTGTTGGAGTGAGCATGCTCCAACCAGGCCACCGCTTTGACCCGCTGTTCCTATTAAAACCTGAACCAAAGCAAAAGAAAAACGCAAAGAAAAGGCCTTGCTCAGTTCAGTTCATGTCATAGAAACTCTTACAGTTGTGAGTTCAGATGAAAAGCACCACATTGAGCCCAGATTTGTTTGAATGCTTTTTACTCTGGATAATATTCCAGACGGCCCTTCCTTCTAATCCTTCATGTGGCGAGAGCAACAGCTGACAGAAGCCTGTTTTCACTCCATCATCTGTGCAACACATATTTCCATGCACAGTTGTTGTCCATTATTGTTGTTTCACCATGAACTGAAGAGTGTCTACTCTATTGGTTTAATGAAACTTACTGATTTCTCTGATGTTAGTCATGGAAACAACTGGAGGAAAAACAAATGGTGTTTTTATCGGTGTTAATCTTTTTGTTGATGAAACTATGCTTTCAGCCTTTCTTCAACAAGAGATCAAGGAGTTCTGCAAAACAAAACCGTACCATGTATTTTTAGTCTCTAGTAAAAAAATCTTAGAACACTTGAAATTAGACAAAATTAACTTACAAGTAATTTTTCAACAAGGTAAAGTAGCTTGTTTTAAGTCAACAATTCCTTAATATTGATGAAAAAGTACTAGCTCATACTTATAGGAAAAATGTCTTGTTATAAGTCAAAATATCTGCTTTTGGAACTTGTAGCTCATCAATATTAGGGAAATATTTAAAAAAGCTCCGGAGTCTTGCTGAAAAGTTACTTGCAACTAATTTTAGGTGTACTTAGAAAGTTGCAGTACCAGAAATACTTGGTAAGGTTTTGTGTTTTTGCAGTCTGGTTTTATGTTGTGGTAAAAGCCTTATTGGAACATTTTGTTTCCAGAAGTCTGATGTCCCCCGGGTTGACCCGTGCCTTAAAACGCAGCAGAATGTTTCTAGTGAAGCTGCTGATACGAGATAAATCATGTCAGTCGTCTCCAGATCTGCAGCCTGATGTTATTTGGTTTGTTTGCTTGGCAGAGCGTTTGGCTGTGTAGGCTGAGGTGGCGAGCGCAGGCGCAGCGGCTTCCTCTCGCTGCTCTGCAGTGGTTCTAATGTGGCACATAAAACCCCAGCTTTGATATCGCCTGCTCCAATAAGCCCCTTCAGCCTGCCAGCACCTGCCAGCGGGGAGGTATGCATTCATCTGGCCCCTAACAGGATTATGCTGCTCTGTAATTGATTCATTTGCAGTGAGGGGAGGTGACAGTGCTTTGGAAATGAGAGTTTAGGTAACAGGCGCCCCAGAATTCAGCCGACTGCATGTGTCAATTTTATTACATCAGTCCAGATGAACTTGAAAGGCCGGCTTTGTGCGTGCTCAGAGGGAACAGAGTCAATAGGCCTCATTGATGTGAGTGTGTGTCTGTGTGTGTTCTTTCTTCTCCCACGGCCCCCTGGGTGTGTGTGTTTACTGTATGCTGCATTTTATGAGTGTGTGTCTGTGTTGTGATCAGTTTTGGGTCGGTGGGAGCGATCGATGTGACACACATGCTAAAGTCTGGATGTGTTCACACATGAATGGCGGTACGACAGTGATGATCTGACAGGAAAACAGGCGTAACCGGGTCGATCAATACCTCACTGTGTTAAAGGCCAAATCCAGTCTGTCAGACTGTAGGTTAAATAATATCTTAATTTGTTAACATGGATCACATAAATCCTTCTGCACACTTCAAAACATTTGCTTTATTTTCCCCACATGGATTATGTTGCACACATGAGTCAGATGTGAGTCTATTTGGGTCTATGGCTTCCATATATCATCTGAATGCCACAATATCTTTTAAAAAAATCCCTTCTATCCCATTTAGACAATTAAATCACACATAATGAAAAACTTATTTTAGTGCAGCAGACATGCACCAAATGCTTGTGTTTAAAATATCTCTGTAAAGGCTGAATACCATGTTGTTTACAGTGGTTCACTACGTCATCCCTGTTTGTTTGTAGCCTTTGTTTGAGATGAGTCAATGTTAAGTCTGTCGTCCTTATTTAGACTTCTATATTTAATCTATGTTTAGACGAAGCAAAACTGCTAAATAAAGAAAGAACCATGGTAAATTTTGAAATACATATTTGTACTGTCCTGGTGAGAGAAAACAGGATCTCCTTTATTCTGAAATGTCACTAAATATTCAAGTTGAACAGGCTGAACACAAGACCCCTCCTCATTATCATCAAAGACAACTTCCCGGACGTTTACATAAAAATAAATCTGCAAATTGTTTTTTGCAAGAATCGTCATTTCTAGATGCATTTACTACATTCTCATACGGTGGCAGTGCCTCTGTGTATTTAAAGCAAATGATCAATTCGATATAGCAGCAACAAAAACCAAGACTGGAATTAAACCGTCTTGAAGTGATATATGATTATTATGAAGCTCATCCAGTAAAGTTGTTGTGTTTATAGCTGACAGTTCCTGAGTTTGAGGCCAGCTCACTCTGTTCTTTTTCTTTTGCTTGTTCATCTCGGTTAAAACAGGCCTACATTTTGATGTCTAATAAATGTCTAAAAACACACTAAGGAGACTTTAATTTCTTTGGAAGATTTGCGTGTTGCTTAGGTGTATTTTGAGAAAAAAAAAAAAAATGGCTCCCCAGGCAATCTTAATATTTACAGCCTTTGTGCTGAGTCGCATTCAGTTTTCAGTGCTCTCCTTGTGCAAACTACATTAACAGCCTTTTCTCTGTTAGAAACTTTATACAAAGTCTTCCCTGTTTATAGTTCTGTTGCTAAGCTATGCTAATTTTTTCATATTATGTTTGAGGACTCTAGACTGATCTTACTTGTTTACAGTGTTCTCGCACAGATTTGCTGATGGTCTTCACTGTTGCTGATTTTCACAGCATTACTTCATAGTAATATTTAAGAGATATACATATTTAGAGTTTTCTTTGACATTTGGTGTTTGTGCTTACCAGTGCCAACAGTTTCACATTTTTCAAATGAATGATGCTAAGCTATGCTAACTGGTTTTCCAGCTTTATGTTCTTTCTGTTTATAGTATTTTTGTAACATCACCTGAACATTACATTGATAATCTTTGTGCTAAGCTATGCTCATAACTGATTGTGTTCAGCTTAAGGTGCAGATATTGCATGTTACTGGGAGTCTGACCAGTTGTCATGAAAACCAGTTCACCTGAAAGTAATGGTCCCACCAGACCAGGCCCCGTTTCATGCCCATCTTAATGAGCCTGGGAAAAGTTCCCCTGCTCCCGTGGGGCAGAACTAGATGACCCAGTGGACACAGTGTGCCCTGGGGGGTCGGGGAGGGGGCGTCTTCACGTCGTCCCTCCTTTGTCCGCATGTCTGGAAAGCTGAATGTGAGGCACGGTGATTTATGACTGAGCCCAAGAAGCTGCAGTGGAGAAGACGGCCGCCTGTCCCCGTTTCTCTTGACGCGCCGCAATCCTCTTTGCTCCCAAAATCTGGGTTAAATGCAAATTGATCCAAGCGATACCAGACAATAATTACCGTCCGACTTATGTGTGCATGCAGCAGAGCAGAAGAGAATTCAATAAGACCTGGATGTGTCTGCACTGTAGCCCCCGTCCAAGTCAATCCACTGCGGTCATTAACAGAGGACACGGCGTCCACAGGGACTGCCGGTGTTTTAACTTCACATTGGGCAGTTTATGATAGTCATATTTTCTTTTAATTTTTCATTTATTTGGATAAAATCAGAATGTTGACTCCAGAACCAAAGATTAAACAGTGCAAAGCAGGTCATAAAGGTTTTCATTGGTTTATCTGTGTCCAAGTGTCTAATATCTGAATGTTTCTGATTCGTTTCTCAGCATAATGTACATAGATATGGTCAGTATCTGGTCAGCAATCTCCAACACTAATGTTATTTTGATTGGTTAAGCTTTTAAGAGACCTCATTCCCCAGGTGGAGCTTCGTTTTCTCGAGTCCTTCTCTGATCTGAACAGCCGACCTGCTCTTGCTCTCCTGAGGTTTCAGTATCAGTTTTAAATGTTTTTATCTCTTATCTCAAACTAACAGTTTTATTTGCAACGTTCTTGACCCTGAAGACCTGAAGTTTAACCAAAAGTTACCTCACAGAGCACAGTGCAAGACAGCAGATAGTGGTTTTAGGAGTGCCGGTAGTGCTGATATGTCACTGCTCCGGCACTTTTAGAGTCTATCCAAAGTTAAAGCTGAGACATTTTTTCTTGTCCCTTGCAAAACTGGACAGGAAATGTTAATCAGACATAAAAAGTGATGGTTCAGTCAGATTTTTCTGATCCAATCAGAACTATGTTAGTGACTTTAAACAATGTCAAAGGACAATAAAAGACTTGGGAAATGTTGGTCAAGCTGCTGGTTTTTTGTGGTACCTTGTCACCTCGACGTCATGCAGGCAGACACAACTATTTATTGAATGACTGTTAGTACATTTGCTGCTCCGTGGAACACTCTGTCTTTTTCTTGACGCTTTGTGTGTGTGAGCACGTCTACACCAGCAGGTAAGCAGCAGAAAACCGTCCTTGCACCAGTTTCCTCTTTTTGCGTCGTCCTTGAGTTCCCTTTGCCGTAATCTGCTGACACTTTGTTTCACGAGTTGTGTTGACCGTGTCACCACATTGTTGCTTCTCCTTTGGTTCTGAGAACACACACACACACACATACACACACACACACACACCTTCATGCGGTGCCCTCACACTCTTTTTTATTTCCTTTTCTGCTCTCACTTCCCACTCGCCTCCTTGGATGCTGGACGAGCGTCTTTCACAGCAGTTGGCTGTTTTTAAGTGAAACTTTGAGACTCAGTTTGTTCAGGTTTTAGGAAGTTTCCCCCCCCTAAGATCTCTCTGACACAGCGCCTGTTATTTTCAGAGCTTTGAATATATTGAAGTCTGTTACTGATCCTCTGACTGGAAGAGAAGCAATGCCTTCCTCTCTCTCAAACTGCTTGGATTTCTGACAGTGCTGATGAGGATGAGACTCAGATTGAGTCGAGTTCGTGGTTTGCACAACAGAGTTTGTGTTTTTTCACCCTGACAGTGCCCCGGACTCCGAGGTTATGACCTTGGTGATGATCAGCAGCTTCAGACTCAGTGAGGCGACACAAACTAACGAGCAGGACGGTCACAGTTTGTTCCTCTGATCCAGAAACAGGGAGCCAAAAACTCTGATGATTTAAAAAAAGACGAAAAGGAGGAATTGTGAAATAAATCCATCATACTAACAGATTTGAACCTGAATGTTGCAATTCAACAACGATTAAAGGTCAGGTTTGTGGCTCTCAGATGTTAATGAAGCAATTGTCACTCAAAAACATTTAAAGACCCGAAGAACATGTCACACATCCATAAATTTACTTGACCTCACATCAGAAACATCGCACACCCTCGTATTACATGTATGACTATAAAGAGTCTTTAACCAACATTATCACCTAATTTAATATTTATAACTTTGCAATGTTTCAAACTTCCTCCGCAACAACAGAAAATAACTGCTGATGACTCACCCCACACAGGGGGGCATGATCTAAATCCGGGTCCAGTGAGCTGGTGCAGGATTGTGGGTTTGGTCAACAACCAATGAGCAGCGGGAAGTGGCTCTCTGCTATATGCCGCCGTTGCACTGAGATGACACGACTGCTGAGATTACACCAGGATTATAGTGGCAGCCATGACGGAGTAATGTGTGACCCAGATCCTCAGAAACTGTTGAGTCACTGGTTGTCATGGTGATCCCCGCCTTTTCTGGGGCGAAGGGCGGAGGGGGAGTCCAAAGCAATACCCCCTTCTTCTTATTGGCAGAAATAAACCACAGATAACAAACCAACAGTCATTATGTGAATGTCGTTCAGCGATGGCCACTCATGATTTATTTTTATTTGTCTACAGTGGTTTAGATGCAACAGGTTTATTCAGCTTTTTTACTTTTGAAAGAATGATTGTGAGTTAAGATGTAATGGCGTTTATTAGAGTTTATTGCGTATTTTGCACTCCAGGTTGATTTGACAAAACACTGTAAGTCCTCTATAAATAGGAAACATTATTTGGGAAAGTCTACAAAATTGACTGTGTATTGATGTATAAATCATATGAAACTGTGGACATGAGTGTAGTTTGAATCCAAAAAAGTTTCTGTTTCAAAATCTAGACTGTGTGGCAGCAACATTCCAGGGTAACATTTTAAAATTTCATGAAACTTAAGCTATGATTGTGTAAAAGTAGGAAAAAGTACCAAAATGCCATTTCAGTCAGGGAAAGTCCAACATTCTGTGATTTGCTTAGAATGTAAATTAAGTTTCTTCTCTAAAGACGCTCCAAACAGACCTGGGTTTTCTCTCCACTTTCACTAAACTTCTCCTAGGGACTATTTTTGTACTTTTTTAAATCTATTTTTATAAACAGTATTTGATTAGTAATTTCAGTACACTGTGCACAGTTTTGATTACTATTTTCCATTCACTTAGTGTGGGCATGAATTAGTTATTAGTCTGAGAGTTTCATTGATTTATGTGAGCTGTTTTATTTCCAGGGTGAAGTTATTTTACAACGTATAACTTTTATAACACAAATTGGGATCCAAAACTTTCAATGAATGTATAAAATGCTGCATATTGTTGCTTATTCCCTCAGGATTATAGACAACTTCACTAATACTTGATGCTGTCCTTTAACGAATTGCACCTCAGCTTTTTCTGTTGCAATCAATCAACTGAGCTTTTTTTTATGTCGGTTTGTTTCTGGCAACAGACTTCACTTCACTGAGAATATCCAGACTGAAAAACAAGGCCCCAGCTGTCAAATTAAAACTCCACTGCGAAGACACGCATCTGGAAATGCAAAATGTCTTCTGGAGAGAGGTTTATCAGTCAGATGACACTGAGATTAAGCTATTTTTACATAATGCATGTCATAAGTTGCAAAACATGGTAGAGGAAGCATCATTCTCAGGGTCTATTTAGGTACTAGTCCACAAAGTGGGTGGAATAATGAAGAAGGGTGACTACATCTAATTTTTAAGTATCTGACTGTTCCAACCTGGAAAAATAACTTGAAATCATTAAGAGCATGTTTTTTTAATGACTGTAATGATTAAATGGAAACTTATAATCCCATCGCGAGCAACACTCATAACCCAATATTCCTGATTTAGATGCAAATTTTCCCAAAGCTGTGGTGGCATGTTGACCAAAAAGATTTCAGGAATAGAAGAATGCATAGATAAATGCTCATGTTTTGGGATCCTACAAGCTAAAATTAATTTAAATGAATTTGTCTTCAACAAACCAAGGAGATCTAAGGCTACACTGATGCATCTTTCTGGTCATTTTCATAAAGAAACTAGTCATTTTCAGGAAAATGTTTGGCCACAGATGTTGCTGCATCGTTCCCAACAATCCAGCAGCTGTTCTCAGCCTGTCCAATATTCTTGCATGCAAACATTTGAGACCCAGTGAGAATCCATCCAGCATCCTGACAACTGACAGCTCACTGAGCCTATAGCAGCCATCATGTGGTGTCCAACCATTCACTCCTCCTTTAGGGAGAGGCTGTGGAAAACCTCCAGCTTCTTTGCTGTTGTCCTCAGATCTGGTTTGGTACCGGTCCAACATCAGGCTGTGGTCTGATCGGGTTTTCTAACTCCAGTCATCTGCATGTGTCTGTTCCAGGAATATTCTGAGTTTTCAGGATGTTCAAACATCTGCAAGTCAGTCCAAGGCACATTTAGTGATTCCGACTGTTTGGAGGAATATTTTGAGAGTTGGTTTCTGAGAGGGACCAGAACCACATATTTACTGCTGATGATTCTGAAAAAGAACACGGAGAGCACTTTCAGGGTCATTTTACCAAAAGAATAAATAAGTGATTCTTAGATATATTGTATTTATTTTCTTCTTCCATTGAGAGAGTTGACGTGCTTCAGACTGATTGTGCTGCATTCAGGGTCCTGGTTGTGTTCAGAGAATGAACTGCAGAGTTTTCAGCTCATTTTGCGTTTGAAAGAACTCTGAGAGCCTCTTCATGTTGTCGACTGTAACAAAACTCTCTTCTTCTTCTCCTCCTCCCACTAATTTAGCTAATCTCTGTCTCACACACTTGGGACATGAAGAAGGAAAGTGAGACAGAATCAACTCTGACCACTTTGCCTAAATGCTTTAATTAGCAGAGAGGCTATAGAATAAAGGGCTTTTATTTTGGCGAGGGGTGAGAGCATAGCTGGAGAGGATTTAAAGTGCCCTCCCCCATGTCCACTCATCTGCAGGCAGAGCTAACGGGAGGGGGGCTGCAGACATGTCACATCTCTGCTGACATTGCTGCTGCTGGTGTTGAGTTGAAGCACAAATTATATGTATTTAGCTTAAATATGAGGAATACTTTCTTATCTTGTTCAAAACTCATAGAGATGCACTCATCTGTATCTTTATTGGTCCTGATATTGAAAACAGTTCAGGATTGGGTATCTCTGATAATGTACTCAGTCCACATATCTATTCAGTCTAGTTCTGTGCCTTGTCCTCTGAGCGACGTCATGCTTTATTTTTTATTTTATTTTACATTATATTTGGAATTCCTATTAATGCTTTCTGAACCATTTGAAAGGTTTTTTGCCGTTTATTTTTTTACATGTTTGACAAAGGTAGTTTCAGTTTCTTTACTGCACTGACTGAACAAATTAAAGTTGAGTTGTTTTTACATGTTTGACTAAGCTTGTGAAGCTACTGGTGTATTTAAGTTTGTTGTGCTGGTGTAGAGTTATTAAATAAATTTGTATTTCAGTACATTTATGACTGTGTTAAAAAAAATAAGCACTAATTTTCTGTATTGGATCAGTATCAGCCAATTCTAATCCTCAGATATCGGTATTTGTTTCAGTAAACAAAACGTGGATCCCTAAAGTAACACTTCAGACAACCTAAATAAGCTGCACTTAGGAGTGAGGCCTGCTGGGTCCTGGAAGCAGATTACCCAGATGCCTCCGCCGTCTCTTATCTGATAAATAGGAACATTTGTTATCCCAATGGATTGATTGATTGATTTGGGGTTTTATCAGCTTTGATACAATAATTTGGTAGAACCTTAAGGTGGGTTGGTGAGCAAAGAATTCAAATCTGTCATGTGACTCAGGTGGATGTGTTCAGGTGTCACCCAGGTAACCAGACTGTGAGCTGGGATCTGATTGGTTGACAGTCTGGCATTGAGTGACAGTGCATGGATTTCTACGTCCTGCAGCCACTTGTTCATTTGGCTGGAAAGTTGGGCCCCGGGGCCTGAGCGCCTGTCACTTCCTGTCACCTCAGTGGTAATCAGAGCGAGGGTGGGCCCTGAGTAGAACAGGACTGTTCTCAGGTCACATGACTGAAAAGCACATCTGTCAGTCCAAAGGTGCAACCGCGAGCACCGACTGACTCCAATGACACCTCACTTCCTGTTTGTCCTTCACCCCCGATTACACACACAGATACACACTCTGAGTCTGCGTCTTCAGGGTGCTTATTCACCTCAGAAACGCTGCCGTCTTGTTGGCTGCAAGTTTTGCATGCTGACGTTGTTTCTCTTTTAACAGTGACCAGAATCACCTAAACAATGAAAATGATCAGAAAACCTGAAAGCAGAACATCAATCACTTAATGAAGGTGTTTAGTGAACCAGGTGAAATTTCCCAGCCTGACCAGTATGTGGATCAACTCTGATGTATTCACCTGTAGGCATTTTGGATGGATGGTGTTTGTTTCCCAGGTGTTTGCTGGTTCTCAGTCCATAGATGTTTCTTGTTTTTTTTTTATGTTTGATCATTTGCTTGCAGGTGTGTGTTTCTTGGTTCCCAAATGTTTGTTTGTTTTCAGGATACACAACATTTTGACTGTTGATGCTTTTGATAATGATTTCCAGGTATTTGTTGATTTTGGTCACCGTAGCCAGGTGGTGTTAACATCTTTGTGTCAGATAACGGTAATACTGAGCTTCTCCAGCTCGGTGTTTACTGTCAGAAAACAACTGACGCTGTGACACCCTGACTTGTGTGACCTGAGGAAGTGCTGACAGCGGTGTTTTCCTTCTTCTTCTCTCGGCTGTGCCCGGTGCTGGTGTCCGGCTGCAGGTTGTGGTGAAGGATGGAGGTCTTGTGAGTCAACATTAGAGCAACTTGATCAGCAGTTTCACTTCTGCAAATTCTTCCTGGAACAGATGAAAATACCTCTGAAGACCAGTCAGTGTGAAGTGAAGCAATACCTGACACACACACACACACACTGTAAGCCTGTAGTTCAGTTTTGTATTTCAGGTTGAGGATGATTCACTGAAGAACGGTTTTGCTGTGAATACACGGCTTGTAGAGCTTGATTTGGTTTACTGAGGAAATCTGTCCTCAGTGGAAAGAAAATATTTTTGTGTTGTTTCATTTGCCACATCCCTTTAGCTACACTACTTAACATTATGTTGTAACTTTAGAGTCTCCAGGTGATCTGTTTTACTGTCTTATATTTATTTATGAGCTCAATTATTTTAAAACAGATCTCCTTGCTGACAGAGCTTTGTTGACCACCAGATGTTTAGTGTTGTACTGGGGTTGGATTTGCAGTGACTCAGTTTTAACTCGGATTTCTTTATGTGTTTCGGCTTGGAGTTGGCTCGGCGAGCTGAATGTTGACTCACTTGTGGCTCTGTTTTATGGTGTTAGTTT